AGACTTAGAATCATGTGAGACCAATATGTTTTTGTGAGACATTTGAGACTATATTTTTATACTTGAAACTTTACAATTAAACAATATGAAGGTAACGTTCACAATGTTTTTGCTTTGAAGGTTTAGAGTTTTTTTTTATTTTACATTCACAATGTTTTGTTATGAAGTTTCCAAGTATAAAAGTGTGTATTACGGGTCTCACAAAAATATGTTGACCATTTATATATATATATATATATATATATATAGGGGGTCTTTCAAGAGATAACTGGTTAGTTTGTGATAATTGTGAGATCTAATCTCAACCACAAATCAATGCTTAAATTAGGAAACTAATTATTTTGATAATTTAACTTAAAATTTTAATTAAAGGGAATTTTAGGTGTTTTCAATTTTTTATTTCTCATCTCTCCTCTCTCAGGCGAACCTTATTCCTGCGAACGTTGTTCTGTTGAACACTTGATGCACACTGTGATACCTTTTATAAAATAACAAAAAAACACAGTGTGATATACTTTGTAAAACAATATTATCTAACATTGTGTTACACTTCGTAAAACTACAAAAGTACATTGTGATACACTTCGTATAACAACAAGAACACATTGTGATATACATTATGATACCACTATGGTACTAGATCTGGTTGATGAATACAACTTGATCGAAAGAAGCCATTGGACTAGTTGAGATGCAACGAAGTTTATAACAGAAGCCAGATCTGTACGACTCTCCATTCAACGTCGCCGTGGTTGAGATTTGGGGCGAGAATGGTCGGGATCGAGCGATGAGAATGGTTGAGATCGCCGGGAAGAATGATTGAGATCGGCGGAGCATGTGGAGCTTTTGAAAATGGGTATTAAGGGAGGATGAGGAAACGACGAACAAAATTTATTTGGAGTTTCAGATTCAAAAAGATTTAAGAGTTAGGGTTTTATAAGCTGTAAAAGTTACTAATTTATCATTTGTAAATAATATTAATTATCTAAAATAATTGACTCATACTGAAATTCACGGTTTATTACAAACTATTTAGTTCTAATTTAATTAGTTGTATATAAAAAGACAAAGAAATGATAAATATAGAGTTAAAAATGACGTTGATAAATAGAGTAGTTGATTATCTTTTGTAATTTTTGGGAGAGGGGTTTATACTATGACTATATAAATAGCAAATGACAAGCCCTAACACACACAATCGCCGCCAAGATGCAGATCTTCGTCAAAACCCTAACCGGTAAAACCATAACCCTAGAGGTCGAATCCTCTGACACCATCGACAATGTCAAAGCCAAGATCCAAGACAAGGAAGGCATCCCACCAGATCAACAACGCCTCATTTTCGCCGGAAAACAGCTCGAAGACGGTAGAACCCTAGCCGACTACAACATCCAGAAGGAATCCACCCTCCACCTTGTCCTTCGTCTCCGTGGTGGTGCTAAGAAGCGTAAGAAGAAGACCTACACCAAGCCAAAGAAAATCAAGCATAAGCATAAGAAGGTCAAGCTCAGCGTCTTGCAGTTTTACAAGGTCGATGATTCTGGAAAGGTCCAGAGGTTGAGGAAGGAGTGCCCTAATGCCGAATGTGGCGCCGGAACCTTCATGGCCAATCATTTCGATCGACACTATTGTGGTAAATGTGGGCTCACTTATGTTTACCAGAAGGCCGGTGGTGATTAATAACTATATCAGGTTTTGTTTTCAATCATCATGAGACATATTATCATCTCTTGTTCTTGGATGTTCCTGAAATTGCTTTGAGACAGTTCATATCAACATTCATCATCAATTTTCATTTTTGTTACAATATCTCTTTAAGTTTTTGTGATTGAACAAGTCATTACATGATCATGTGATTCCTTAATTGCTAATTATTGATGTCGTATGATGGATTGGATCACCAATTTATGCTTTAGTTTCATTGGGGGAAAACATGATTATGGTTTATATGCTATGATTTGCAGATTGCTTTGTTCTGTCTATCTTGTTTCAGTTTGTAGGCTAATTGTAAGAATTGGTTTAGGTTGATTGTGAGAACTGAAATTGGTTTCCGTTCTATAGTTATTGATGCCTGATATCAAGATAGTTTCTTGTACTAGTTTGTTGAATTTAAGGTTCTTGATGCTCTTTTTTTGGACATTTTCAATGCCAAACTTAAGTTTAGGGTTGTGGGTGTTTGGTTGATGATTTTGTAGATTCGTTCTTGTAGTCGTGAAGCATTTTACTTTTCAAGAATATGATGAACCTAGGAGCCGTTTATTAAACGCTTACTTGCTAAGTGCTTACTGGATAAATTTCTTTATCGGATGTACATGATAATGACCAAGAATCTTACCGGGTAAGAGTGATGAGAAGGATGGAGAGTCTTTCCCGGTTAGTGAAGATTACAGCTCTTATCCAGGTAAGTGCTTACCCGGTAAATTGTTGCATTCAATATGTTTTGATGTACTAAACAGCCCCCTAGTAAGCATGTTCAATTCCACCATCCCTGCCTTTTCTACAATCTTTGCAGGGTATTTTTCAAAATTCTAGTTGATATGTTTTCATCCACACCAAGCATCAATGGAAAAACCATTGTATGCAGATTTCCCAACTTGAAATTAGCATTTGCTATGCAAATAAGTAGAAGTAGAACCCCTGGGGAAGACATGCCTACTATTTTTCTTGCCAATTCTTCCCCAAGAACAAACTTTGAAAGAGGGTATAGATGTATTTTTAGGCATGGGAACGAGCCACGACCCGTCGGGGAACCCGGTCCACTCGCCCCGGTCGGGGGCGGAGATTCCCTGTTTGTCTTAAACAGTATTTTAGAGGGGTGGCAAGAATTTGTTCTGGAAATTTCACATAATTAGATAGGGCATCATCAAGTGAGAACTTCAAAAATGTTGAAAACCTATAAGAACCAATCAATAAGTTTTCATATATATATATATATATATATTATATATATATATATATATATGGCTAATATTTAAGGTATTGTTTTCAAGTGTGGAACTTGTGGATATCTATCATTTCAGATGTATTGGTTTTACAATGTGAAACTATATATATCTTACTGGATCTCATGGTTTTCAATAATTTTGAGGTTCTCATATGATTATCCCTCCTCATCAGATTTCGTAAATTCCTCAAAGCAAAAAGGGAAATGATACCTGTTGTTTAGTTGGTTAATATCGATAAAAAAAATATAAAACCTAAGGGGGTGTTTGGTTTGATGGAATGGTTTTAAAGGATTTGGATTTCATAGAATGATTTTGAATCTCTATGTGTTTGGTTTGTAGAATTTGGAATGAAATTGAATTCCATTCTTTATAAGTAATTTATAAAAACAAATTATAAATAATTATAAAGTAGTTAAATTATATTTTTATTAATTGATTATCACAAAATAAATATTTTAACCTATTTTAAAATATTCTACGTACAACTTTTACGAAATCCATTGAAGTAGCAACCATCTTCGCGGGATTTTAAAATCATATGTTTGTGAGGTTTTAACTTCAGAAAACCCTTTAAACCAAACATATGATTGGTTGGAATTCAGGGGATGTTTGGTTCATTTTAAGTAATGCGGATGAAAATGAATATAGAACATATTTTCTTCAAATCAAACATAGGATTGGTTGGGGTTTAATCATCGACCACAAACGAATCAAAATACTCATCAATTTGAAGCAATTGAGTTTGATGTTGTCAAAGCAAATCGATTGATTAAAGCAAGTCAAAACTCATTCGAGTTTGATGTCACAGATTGAAGCAGATCAGTCGAGTATATTATTTTCACCGAGTTCCATAGAGCAATGGAGGTGGAGGAACTCATTCGCCATAGAATCTTTGACGACGGGTTCTACAAAGAGGGAGAGGCGTAAATGATTAGGGTCACTAGATAAGAAGGTGCATTCCGAAATAAAAAATTCCCCCATAATTTGGTGGGTATGGATTTTACCCTCGATGATTAATTATATTACTTATAATCAAACAACATCTTCCATTCCATTCTTATTAACGTATAGATGTTAGAACTTTTTTGAAGTTGCTAAACAAAGGGTGTTTACTTGCACCCCGTATGGAGGTGGTCAAGAATGGCCAACAACCGAACCGATAGAGATGAGCACAATCGTCAATGGTTACTATGTACTCGTCCAAGTTAACCACACCTATACAATCTATAATCTGTTAAGGATCCATCGTAATTAGATGGGGCAATTGCTCGATCCCTAGGACTGTTCCTCATAAGTCAGTCAACTTTATTTAATCCAAATTGATCCTTGACATTTACAAAATCTATTGGTTTTCGTTCTTCTAACTAACATATGTTATTTGTTTCAATCCAAGATATTTTGGCTATTGTTCTATTTTTTAAATTTCTGATTGAAAAATAATATATAAATGAAGAAAAATATATACCCCTACTCTTCTAGATGATCCTCATTGGCCATAAGGATAAAAAGAAAGAGAATTAATTAAAATAGTCATTTTAACCATATGGTTTCACCTCTTAGCTATTTCTCTCCCATAATAACGAAATTAGCTGTAGGTCCGCAATTTGCGAAGGGGTCAAAGTGTAAGAAAAAAAGAAAGTTTCTCAACCAGGTCCATAATTGCAGAGACCAAATATGTAAACACGGACATATTTTGGCAGATCTATAACTAATTTATATATTTGGTCCCTATAATTGCGGACTTGATTCAGAAACTTATTTTTTCTTTTACATTTTGACACATTCGTAAGTTACGCGCCTACCAATTATGGACGTATTACTTTTTTCGTTATTTTGAGAGAGAAATGACTAAGACGTGAAAACTACCATGAAAAATAACTGCTCTAATTAATTTCCCAAAATGAAAACGCTAAAGTCAAACCTAAAAAAATTTCGAACATTAACAATGAAGTCTTAAAAGTGAGGTACAAGGCTTAATGCAAACCATTTAAAAACAAATGGTAGAACTCAAATTCTCGAAGTTAAAACTTCTTGAAATCCAACGCTAAATTAGACTCGTGTAAAATCAAAGCCTTATAACTCAAATTAAAAATGTTTTGACGATTTCCTTTGGATAGTAATCATGGCAAGATTCCGTCACAATTGAGTGAGACTAATATGGTCTTCAGTCACGACGGTTAACTTGGATCGATCCTTAAGACGATTCTCCATCTCCACTCATAATCGCATGTAATGTATATTCACTTATGAATATATTCATGATTAAAAAACTAAAAGAATATACGGGTACGGATATTTAATTAAAGAAAATAAAATACTTGTTTTTTGATATAATTTGTTTAATTAAAAATATGAATTTAAGATAAAATGATGTAAATCTATTTTTATTTGAAAGAAAAAGAAAATGCAATTGGAAGGCCTAATATTTTGTTGAGTACTAATTTTGTTTATTTATCCACACCCTTAGATTTAATTATCATATTAATTACAAAAATGCCACCTCAAAAATCTACAATTCATTAAATTGAATAGACAACATGATTTGTTAGCATGTTCTCTAATACATATGGGGTCTCAAATTAGGGTTAGATTAAGGATGAGTAATGTCATCTTCAATTATGCCTCAATTTCGATTCATGTGTAGAAATCAACCTCGATCTTTGTATTATTACCCGCTAAAGCGGAAATCTCATCCCAGTAGGGGGAGGGTCCTGTGCATAATGAATCAAAATTCCATCCTTACGTGATATCATGTTCTTGGTCGATTAAAAAAGTAAAGTAAAAACACGAGAAGAAATCTGTTATTGTAGTGAACAACTGAGGTGCATATTTTCGACTTTCATGTAAAATCCACATCCAACTTGTTGAATTATATCTAGTCATGCATAGTAAACGAATAGGAAATTATGGAGTATTAAATTCCTGTTATGTAATAATATGAAAATGTATCAGAATAAACTTCCATAACTGATCAATTTCTCTCTAACCATTCTACTTCTTTCTCTCTATAATATTTCTAATCATAACCATAGTTAAGATAACACAAGATATCAACACCAAAATGCTAATCAAGGAGATTCAGACAAACCGAGGACAAGTCATATCTACCTTAATCAACCAATCATTGATTCCAGAGATATAGGTTGGGGCTTCTGTGAATAACCCCTCGGTGGGGATATTTTGAACTCACAGTATTAGAAAGAAAGGGTTTATTACAAGTTTTCGGGTCATTTCTTGGTGAACATGATCAATTAGGCAGGGGAAGACTCTGTGTATTAACATGAAACTAATCAGATTTGAATATCTCAATACCAGAGATCCGAGCGTTCTTTTGAAAGATCTTAAAATAGATATGATCACAAACATACAATACAAGTTTTGCTTATAGATTCCAGGGATGAATGTAGAACTTTGAGGTTCCAAGATTTCAAAAAAGTGAATGAAAGGCACATTTTATATTACCGAATGATATGAAGCTTCTTGTAGATAATGCTTTGTTTACTCCAACATCAAAGATAAATTTATTGAGTTTCAGTGACATATGTCTTAATGGATATGATATTCAAACTGTCACTACCAAAAAACCCACTTTTTCCGGTGGCCAAATCCGCCGGAAAAAGTGGCGCCGGTGATTGTTTTTCTGACAAAATTTCCGGCGGATTTTCCCCGTTTCCGGCGGATCACGGCCGCCGGAAATTTTTCGCCCGTTTATTTATAAAATCTTGATTAACTTAACAAATCCCTAAGTTTTTTTTTTTTTTTTTAAATTTCCGGCGGAAATATTTCTCTCCGGAAAAAAATAATATTTTCTATAAGAATTAATTTTTTTAAAAAAAATACCGGCGGATAAGTCCGCCGGAAATCCGCCGGAAAAATATATAAATAATAATATTTTTAAAAAAAAAATAATATTTCTAAAACAATTATTTTTTTTTAAAAATACCGGCGGATATATCAGCCGGAAATCCGCCGGAAAATTTTATAAATATTAATATTTATTTAAAATAATATTTCTAAAAGAATTAATTTTTTTAAAAAAATACCGGCGGATATATCCGCCGGAAAGCCGCCGGAAAAATATATAAATATTAATATTTTAAATTTATTTTAAAATTAATATTTAAAACCTGTATTTAATACCTGTATTTAATACCTGTATTTAAAACCTGCAAATCTGTACAATATTAAAACTGAAAATAAAAAGGCGAAATAGAACTAAATATCATACATTAAAGTGAAACTACAATTATTMCAACCAAACAAAAACTAAATTGTTATAAACAAATCTAAATTGTTTCAAAGCAAAAGACAATATTCAATATGGTGGTGGCGGGGGGAAATGTTGAGATTGACTGAGCTGTCTAACCAAAGCAGCCATATCTTGAAGTTGTCTATCCTGTTGCTCCTCCCTCTGTCGTCGTCGCTCCGCCTCCAACCGCTGTCGCTCCTCCTCCGCCAAACGTCGCTCCTCCGCCGCCCACCATCACTCCTCCCCCGCCAAATGTCGCTCCTCCGCCTCCCGCCATCGCTCCTCCTCCGCCAAACGTCGCTCCTCCTCCGCCATCCGTTGGCGCTGACTTTGTTCCTGTAAGTCTCTAAGGTGGTGTTTGTTTTTTAAGAGGTGCTGAAGTCTGAAGTCTGAATTCACTTCTGAATTTTAAGAGGTGGTGCTGAAGTCTGAAATCTGAATCAGTCAGACTGTTTGTTTTTACGTCTGAAATCTGAATCAGTCAGACTGTTTGTTTTTACATCTGAAATCTGAATCAATAAGACTGTTTGTTTTTATAAACTGACAAACTTCTGAAGTCTGAAATCTGAATTAATTC